TCCCTCCCTCCCTCCCTCCCTCTTTCTTTCTTTCTTTCTTTCTTTCTTTCTTTCTTTCTTTCTGTGATAGGGTCTCACCTTGTAACTCTGGCTGTCCTGGAACTCACTATGTAGACCATGCTCACCTCAAATGCACAGAGATCTTTCTGCGTCTGCCTCCCAAGTGCTGAGATTAAAAGCATTTGTCCCCACACCTAGCAAAAAGTATTATTGTGGTGTCAGTGGGTGTTTTTCATCCCTCTCTGTTATCAGAAGAGAACGGGAGATCAGCATGCCCTTCCTGCACTTGCTGGTTTTCAAGTGCCTTAAGCCAAAATAATATACCGAAGTAGCATATTTGGGATTGACATGCCCTCTGCTTCTTCCGCTATCATAACACTATCATACAACCGTGTCCAAATTGTGTATTTAATGTATCTTTTTTTAAAGGAACAACAGGCAGTAGCAATATCAGGTATGAATAAATAGGGAAGGAGTATTTTTGCCCCCAAGAAAGACCAATAAACAGTAAACCTAAACATCTAAAGCAGTGGGGTGAAGCATGCCACACAGAGTGGGATGAGATGGAGAATGAAAAATAAATAAACAAATAAACAAATAAATAAATAAATAAATAAATAAATGGGGGATAATAAGAAGTACATCTGGAAGCTAGACAGGAATAGCAGACACTGACACAGACCATAGAACATTTAGACAAAAGTGTGTTAGAGCAAGAGAGCCCCCACCTCCCCCAGTCACCACACTAGGAAATATGAAGCCTCTGTACTTGACCAAACCTACCTACCATCCAGCAAACAATGGCTTCCTCAATGAAGACGTCACTGTGTGGATGTGGACAGCTTGATGCAGTCCATGCCAGGAACACAGTGAGCTCTGCACTACAGATGTGTGTTCTTCCTTCCTTAGATACACAGCCTGCCAGTGGGAGTCGATGTCTTAGTAACAGGCATATGGGCCGAGTTAGGAGACATATGTTCTAATAATGGATTATGATTTTCTCCTAATGTAAAAATACAAATGTGAGTCTGGATTTAAAAAACAATGCAGTTTTAGCTATAAAATCTAACCGAGTCTTATCTTTAAGCAGTTCTATGTTTACATATAATTTATACTGTGGTCATCAGAGTTCATTTCCCTAAAGGAGGCAGACAGACTCCTTAGCCAGGCTCTCACCCTGCTTTGAAGCATCTACCCAATTAGGCATCCACACCTCTTATAGTATGCCAGGGTTACTGGCTAGGATTGTTCTAGAGGACTCCCAACAGGCCAGGGCTTCACCACACCGAATTGTCCACGTCTACAGTCTCTCTAACTCCCAGGGAGGTTCAATGAGAAATTTTTCTTTTCTTTTTCAATGCCAGGGACCAGACCCAGGACCTTGGGTACACTAAAAAAATATTCCTCCACTGAGCTATATGTTTAGTCCTGAACTAGAAAAGCCTTGATACAAGGTGAAATGCAAATGTTCAAATCCGGCCCTGTGCCCTACTCCAGGGTTTCTTCTTTCTCCTCGAGCAGATGTGTGGGACTCTGTGAGGTTCCTGCTGATGTGACATCTCTGCCACCTTTTGTTTTCTTTTGTAGTAGTTGCTTTAAAACAGACATTGAATGTTGCCCTGTGAGTGTCTCTCAAGCTGAATCTCTTGAGACTTCATGACTATCATTAACAGTAAACTAAACAACAGACTGTAGAGGAAAAAAATCAAGATGCTTCTTTTACCCCTTGCTACAATTTGGGTTGGGGGTGAGGAAAGGAAACTATGTCCTACAAGGGAGGCAGTTTTTCCTCTCCAGACATGCTCTCTTCAGTAACCGATAACAGCCACACTTGAATGCTGATCTTTGGATGGTCCATGTACAAATTCAACCCTGAGTGTGAGCCCTCTGTTTGCACTACCCCTGTGTGGCCTAGCTGAAGCCTGAACTGCAGCCATGCCTGCTACTAAGGGGAAAATGATGCCCTGTGGGTGAGAATATGACTCTCCTTTTCAAATGAACTCACAGGAAGATGAGGTAAGGCAGCACCCAAGGACCAGGTGACAATGAGGAATTCCAGTATTAAAACAGAACTTGTCCCTAACATGTTTGCTTGTGCCTTTAAATAGCATGTTGCCAAGAGATTGGAAGTCTTTTAAGAGCTTTGCTGGGAAATGCCTCTGTCCTCTGTGTTGCTATGAGAAGGCTTTGTTTGTTTATTAGTTTCGTTTACAAAAGGCACCAGATGTTTAAAACCCTCAGGCCACATGCATCGGGGAAGATGACATCATTAAAATGCTACATAGCAAACCCACTTCAAACACTTTCTCACCAGCAACAGGGACACTGCCGTTTCAAACCCTAACAAATCTGCCACCTTTAGAGTTCTCACCAAAACTGTTTTACTGTTTGACCTCTTTCATTATTGTCCTTATTCTTTTTAAACAATTTTATCTGTGGCAGGGATCCCTGCTTCAGCCTGTTAAGGAACTCAGCCTCGCTAGAGTCTTCTGATTCATGACTGAAGCCTTCAGTTTACCGTGAAGACTATCTATAGTCTCTGTGCTACCTGAGAGTCCCCACAGAGAGTTAGATATCTGTTCATTATCTAGCTGCTGGCAAATCACTTGGATCGTTATACTTCAGCATCTCCTTTGTACACTATAGCTATGTGGAGGGGGAACCTTGTTTTGACTAATTTTCTTCTAACAAGATAGAGTACTAATTAACTGTGTTGAAATATATGAAATTGAATAATTGTTTTGTGTCTATGAAAAATAATTTTATATAATTTAATCTACTGTATTTGTATATGCCATGGCACCAATGATAAATACCGAGTCCTTAACAAACCTTCTTAGATTTTCCAGTAACCGTGTTCCGAGGAGAAAAATCTGTTGTTCTTTCCACCCTGACATGGATCGGAGGAGGTGGCCTTTTCTTGGGGCTTACTTACACAGTGACAGGGGCATTGACATTGTTGGCCTCTTTTGCCATCCTGGCAATTCACTTGATGCTGAAAAGGACTAAAAAAAATTTCCTGTAGGAGTGAAGTCAATTTGAAAAGAAGAATAGCAGAAGGCAGAAATGGACACCAAAGTACTAGAACCAAAGATCTCTGGCAAAGCTTGAAATATTTCTGAGCCATCTCAACTAGATTGACTGAATCAATCCCAACTACGTGTATAAATAATGAGATTCCCAGAGTGGGGTGAAGAGAAGGAGAGAAGAGGAGGAGAAAAAAATATGTGCAGTAAAATGTTCTTGGAATGAAGACAATAAATGATTTTTGAGCTCTAGACCAAGTGTTAAGAATTTGAAGATCTTGTACTTGAGAGTGGGTGAGTTCCCTAGGGGTCTGCCATGAAAGCAAGAGCGAGCAAGCCAGAACAGAGTCCTTTTAGCTATCCACTTAGACTCAGTCTTCTGGCTAGATAAATTTATAGATTTTTTTCAAAGACTAGTTGTTGAGTCACAACCAAGTTTTTATGCTAATAATAGACCAAGCAATGCTTAGCTATGTCCTGAGTATCCAAAACACAATACACCAAAAAGAAAGTTTCTTTAATGTGACCCAAGATAAAAGTATTAAGAGTGGCTGATTCTTTAAAATATAATGATCCTGTTGAGGACATAAAGCAATTCTAGGACTGACATTAAAATGACACTATCTAAAATATAATAATGACTGGCCTCAAACTCGCTGTCTGCCCAGGCTGGCCTTTACTCATAATGGTCCAGCCTCAGTATCCCTAGTGCTAAGGTTATGAGCATGCCCCACCACACTGGTGATATTAGCTATTCACCTTGCTGTGACAAAGTACCTAACAAGAAGCAATTTTGAAGTCAAGTCTCAGCCTGGTGGTGGTGCTGCATGTCATTAATCCCAGCACTTGGGAGGCAGAGTCAGGTGGAGCTCTGTGAGTTCAAGGCCATGCTGGCCAAAAAAAAAGAAAGAAAAAGGTGAAGAAGCAGCAGTAACTCAAGAGAGGAGGGGTTTGTAGCTTGGGTTTATACTTCCAGAGGTTATATGGTCCATCGTGTAGGGGAAGGCATGGCTGGAGGAACAAGAAGCAGCTGGCCACATTGCATCAACTCAGAAACCAGAGAGGGGGGAGGGCACAATGGTGGTGCTCATCTGACCTTTGCCTTTTCTGTAGTCTGGGACTCCAGCCCATAGAATGGGGCAGCCCACGTGTGGTTTGGGGTTTTCCACCTCAGTTTAAAGTAGACATTCCCAGAGGCTTGTCTCTTACATGATTCTAAGACCTGTGAAGTTAACTGTCACTATTAACCATCACACCAGGCTCAACACAAATGTTTGCCACTTGAGTTCTATCGGTAAAGGTTAAAGAACTGGTTATTTAAGCGCATAGTAACCAGCAGCTTGCTACAGTGGCAGTAGAAAATCAATACACCAGTGTTTGGAGATGCTATAGTCATCTCAGGAATCATTTCTGGTGTGTGGGTGACCTGTCCAGAAGAGAGCAAAAGGAAGTTGATGACTTAAGTCATACCCACTAATCTCTGACCCCATGCTCCTGGCCCTTTGTCCCTCAGCCCTCCTTTACAGTGCTAACTGGGAAAAGCAAATGCAACTGTTGTCTCCTCTCTCTCTCTCTCTCTCTCTCTCTCTCTATCTATCTTTCTCTCTCGTGTGTGGGTGTGTGTGTGTGTGTGTGTGTGTGTGTGTGTGCGCGCGCGTGTGTTGGTAGATAAACATTTCTTTTTTATAGTTGGCTTGTGTGGTTGTTGGGAACTCTACATTCTAATAGATGAGCCCTGCTCAAGAAAAGTATCCTGCCGAGAAGTATCATGCTGTGGGTGGACTCTGTTTGCTGAGCAATTCCTCTTGATCAGAGAGTCTAAGCCTTTTCTAGTCAGGGCTCCACACACAATTCAGGATAACCTGGTTTATGAAGAGTCCACTGATGTAATTCTCACCAGAAACATCCAGAAGAATCCACCAGGTATCTTGGAACCTCATGACTTGGTCAAATTGGCATAAAATTAACCATTACAGAAGCCAGGAAGGCACCTGTGTTCAACAAGTAGCTAAGCACCTTCCCAAAGAAAGCACTTTGGATTTCACTATGAGCTAGAGTTGGCCTACGCACCAGTTGTATTCATAAGAAACTGATCTGAGAAAGACAAATGGCAATATGTGTCTTTTTCTTGTTTCTCTAAAGCAGTTTGTCCTCACAGGATTCTCTCCCTGGTACAGTCTGTCTGCAAGTCATCCTGGTTCACCATTAATCCTCGCAATAGTGGGAGCTGATTAGAAAAGGGATAAATACAGTGGTTTGATCTCAACTTCATTTGTCTAGATATTATGATAGTGTATCAGCATGCACAAGGCCTTGGGTTTATTCCCTAGCACTGAATAACCCCATGTGTGATGGTGTATGTATGTCTGCAGTCCCTCAGAAGGTAAAGGCAGACACTCCCAAGTTCAAGCTTATTATCAGTTACAACATGAATTTGAGACCTGTCTAGCACATGATACCCTGTGATGATGGTGATGATGGTGAGGGTGGTGGTGATGCAGAGTTGGCCATTATGCAAAATTTACTTATTAGACCTTTACCTTATGTGACAAGGCCATGATGCTGAGTACACCAAAAGGAGCCAGCTCCCCAGCTGTAAAGGGGTTTATCTTACATCAACATTTGTTTTTCTGTCCAACTCCACTAAAGTCCCCCCTCGCCTTCAAATTGAGAGCATCTTTTCTTTATTACACACACACACACACACACACACACACACACACACACACACACACACACACACACACACGCACACACGCACGCACGCACGCACGCACACGCGCGCGCAAATAAATACAACCTGCCGTGTCCATTTTTGTTTGTGTGCTGATTACTTCCTATTGGGTAACCAGTTAGAGGGCTCTTCCCTGGGAGAGGCTAACTCACTGTCTCTTGGCAGTCATTAGTTGCCTGTAGTTCTTTATCTAGGCTGGGACCCTGTAAAAACAACTCTTTCCGCCAGCCTCCTGAGTTCCGCCGCCATGTTAGGACACCCAAATAACACACAGAGATTAATATTAGTAACAATACTGATGGCCAATGACTAGGATTTCTTATTTGCTAGCTCTGTCTTAAATATCAACCATAACCATTAATCTATATATTTTATAAAGACTTATCGAGTACACCAGTGACATGCGTCCTCTCTTCAGGGGATCACATGGCGACTCTCCTCTTTACTACATTTCCCAGAATCCTCCTCCTCTCCTAGTCCTGCTATCTTGTTTCCCTATTGGCCAACAGTGTTTTATTCATTAACCAAAAAGAGAGACAGATACACAGAAGGACATCCCCCATCAGGACCCTGTGAGATTTTCTCCATTCCTCGTATTACATCAGCTTTTGTAGCCCTTCACAAATGTACATATCCACCCCATGATTGATCATGATCACCCACTCTTCTAGGGTTTTCTCAATTCCCTTATGTTATGGATTAAGGAAATGTCCCCCCAGAACAGCACCAGCCTTCCAACTCCTTCCACACAACCCCAGAACACCTAAACCAGAATACTCATTGACTTTGACAAAGCATCATTCCCCAGCCAGCGTTCCCAGTGAAACCAGCCTAATGGAGTCTGGGGTTTCCATATGCTGTATTACTTACTCCTGGCTTTATTAATTCGATATGCACAATAGGAAACAAGCTTCAAATAGCTGTTGGTGGTTTTGCTTTGCAATGTGTCCAGCAATTTCAGAGTATCATGCCCTGTAGTTATCAACATTTTTTGTCTCTGAATATCCATAACTAGTTATACCACAAAGCAGCTCTTTGCTGGCTTCTCCACAGGAAAAGCCCATTTCCAGTCCTCAGAGCCAAGGGAGCCATTCCAAGGTTCACCCAGTCTCTTTCACCAGGACTGGCTTAGAATTTCACTGCTAACTCAGCTTTTGTTTGCCAAATAGAGTTACTCTTGGAAGACCAAGTATGGTTGAGCATTCCTGTAGTCCTAGTAGTATGGAGGCTGAGGCAGGAGGATGGCCAATATGAGGCCAGTGTAGGATTTTTTGTTGTGTGTTTTGGGACAGGGTTTCTCCTGAGTGCTGGGATTAAAGGCATGTGCCACCACCACCAGGCTCTAAAAACTTAAGTTTTTTTTTTGTTTGCTTGCTTGTTTGTTTTTTAAGCTACTAAGAAGTCAGTGCTCCAGTGAGACTTCAAAAACATCCTTATCCTTTGTCCCCTAAAAATGATTATGAGGTAAGATGATTAAGAAAGAAGGTAGTGAAATAGAGATTTGGATTGCGGTGACTCCCACAGCAGTGGGGACAGTTCATTTAGGGGCAGGGAACTTGGCTGCACATAGGAAACCCGTCCAACATCACCATTCTGTCCTGTGGTCTCCATCAGATGATTCAGGAAGTCTTCGCAATATAGAGTGAAGTGTTGCCTAGCAACGGATCTCCCTCCTAGGAGTGTGGAGCTTGTGTCCTGCTTCCAGAGTTGTGCTTTTCTTACTCATCCTCTCCACAGTTGGGATGGAAAAGCTGAGGTCATTGTTCTGATGACAAGAAGTATCTTGCAGGGCACAAGTCCAGCAACAGCAGAGACAGATGAGGGCGGCCCTCTCCATTCTCAGGCTTTTCACTCCAGGCTAAAGTGGGAAATTACTCTTGATTTGTTATTTATAAACATTCTCAGTTCTTGATCATAGTCAGAATCTGATGACTAGGTTTTAAAAATGTATTTTCCAACCTAAGGCCAGCAATTCTCTTGAGAAGTCATGGAGTCTCCAAATGGTCTTTGAAAATGGGTGTCACAGAAACCTACAAGGAAGGAGGAGGTAGAGTGACAAGCAGAGCTTTTGTTTGTGGAGGGTGAGCAATGGGGTTTCCATGTTCCTTCTAAAGGTAAAAAAAAAAAAAGAGAGAACACTAAAAGGAACAAGGGGAGAAATGAAACAGGAAGATGAGAAGGACGGAGTTCTTTCTGTGTTCAGTGTAGTTAGTGGAGCCTTGGGGCCACAGTCTCGGAACTGTCTCCTCACCCTCTTCCCTCCTCCTGCCAGGGTTCACCTTGAAGTCCAATAGACATTGAAATGCTTGGGACATATTTTACCAGTGGTGCATTCTATGTGAAGTGTGTTGGGTCAATTTAGGAAACCACCTTGGTCTAAGGTGGCAGATGGACGGGGAAGACGAGAGGGAGGAGGAGGAGGAACAAGAGGAAGAGGCACACGAAAGAACTGTCTTGTGGAGACTGGGGAGATGGCTCAATGGGAAAC